GTTTACTGGATGTGCAAGTTCTTGTGATTTCACCCTTATTTGCTGCGCTGATATCTGCAGGATTGTTGTGGCTCCTGTGGCACCGAGGATGAGCAGCTGGGCGGTTACTTTATTGTGTTGTTGCATCTCTGGCGTGAGAGACTTGAGTAAGTTTAGAACTGAATAATTGTCTGCTAACTGTTTAGGACTAAATTTTAGATATACGGGGTTGAAGACTTAATGTGTTGTGCCAATGACCAGTGTACAGTCAACAAGGCAATTATAGGAGTTCTGATCCAAAGGAAATCAAGCCAGAAACAATGGACCATGATCAACTCGTTGAAGAACTGAAATGGTGCTTGGGATGAAAAAAAGTTTATTAGAATTCCTTCATTGCATATCAAGCACATGTATATTAGAATTATTTCATTACTTGATCCTTCACAGATGCCATTGAAGTGGAATTTCTGTTCAATTTTTGTTATCTGTTTGCGGTTTAGTCAGTGATGCCTAGGCAGTAAAATAAATACATGAAACACAAGAAAATAGCTGACATTTTTTTATCTGAACAAATAGACATACTAGAGAATGTTGCACATGACATGTTATTTTTTTTCAAACTGAACCTATTAAAGTATGCTGAAAGGTGGTAACTATGCACATAAGTGGTTTGGAAAATAGAATAAACGCTTCAATTTGTACTGTATCTCATGACACATGTGATAGGTTCATGGTGTGTTACCTGATCAAAGAAAGTAGTTTTGCTTATAGTTTCATGGTCAACCCAGTTTACTTATCTTTTGCTTATATTTTTTTCTACCTCTTGCCTTTCTAAAATTCAATTTTGAATACATAGCAAATTGCCTTTCATTATCTCAGTTTTGAAATAACCATTGTCAAACAAATAAGAACGGAGGTAGTACATTAGTACCTGTGAAGCCTCAGTAATCAGTGGATTACTGCTGCTTCAGCTTGTATTTTTCTTTGAAGTTTCTACTCCTACTTAATGAATACCGTGCTAATGCACGTTTGAGAAAATTAGTAACTTAGGTTTGTTCACACTATTATAAATTTCAATGTTGAGCGAGGCATGCAGCACTAGGTGAGCTGTTATGCTTATGTTGTAAATAGCCATGCTTCCACCCACGAGAAATGGATTGGTGGTATCAGCTTAAGCCGCCAGCGTCCCTCAATGTTATTATGCTTACGATTAGAGATCTTTTTCTAGCATCAGTCAAGGTACTCTATCTCATTGTTGGCCCTGATTTTAGTATGTTTGATTGCATTTGATCTTGAAAAATAATGCAGAAGTGTGCTCTAATTTTGTGATGGAGAACCTACAAGTATCTGTGCTCTAAACTGGCAGTACAGGATACGGGAGGTTTGCCGAGTGCTAGGGGCACTCGGCAAAGCCCGAAAAACACTCTGCAACCTCTTTGCCGAGTGTTGCACTCGGCAACCAACACACGGCAAAAATTTATCGGCAAACATTCCTTGCCGAGTGTTTTTGTCGGACACTCGGCAAACACTTTGCCGAGTGCAAAAAAAAAAACACTCGGCAAACATTTTTTTAAAGAAAATAAAAAAAAAAAAAGCACAGGCTGCCACCACCGACCGCTCCAACGCTCGGCAGCCGCACGGGCCACCACCACCACCTGGTTGGAAGGGCGAGGCGAGGGGGAGAGCGAGGACTAAGTAACGAAGGGTGCCGCCGCGACGAGCTAGGCACTGAGTTCACCATCTCAGGCCCAGCCACGGTTGACGGCAGTGAGGAGGCCTCCATTGGCACCTCCCGAGTCACCGATGATGGGGGACGGGGGCTTCCCGCGCTAGATCCGGCCGTCCCCACCGTGGATGGCGCCTTCTGCATTCTGGCGAGACGCCGCCATGGCGGCGTGGCATCCATCCGCCCCCGGGAGCGGGGGCCATGGAGGGCTCACTGCCAACAACCGGCCCGGCGAGGCTACCTCCTTCCTCAGGCGTCGTCGGGCGGGATCCGGTCTTGAGAGGCAATGCCGGGCGCGACCGACCGCAGTCTGGCGATATGGCGGCGACACATCGGCGCGTCGGCGAGCCCATGGAGGTGGGGAAAGGAGGAGGCCTGAGGTGGATCTAGGGAGGGAGAGAGGAAGGCGGGGGGGGCGGACTCGTGAGGTGGATCTAGGGAGGGTTCAGCCGAGAGCCGCCCGGGGAGAGGGGAAGGGAGGAGCTGCTGGTGGATCTATGGAGGGGAGGCGAGAGGAGGGGAGGGTATTTGACGGGATTTTTCTTTGTTTGCCGAGTGTCCTAGATCTAGGCACTCGACAAAGTTTGTTCAGAAAAAGGTTATTTATTTCTTTGCCGAGTGTTTTAGATCTGAGCACTCGGCAAAGTTTTTTTTTCATTTTTTTTTCTCTTTCTTTTCCAGAAAAAAGATTTTTATTTCTTTGCCGAGTGTTCTAGATCTGAGCATTCGGCAATTTTTTTTCATTTTATTTCTTCTCCTTCTTTTCTAAAAAAATGATTTTATTTCTTTGCGGAGTGTTTTTTTTGACACTCAGCAAACCTCATTTTTGCCGAGTGTTTTTTTTGACACTCGGTAAACCCCCTCTTTGCTGAGTGTTTTTTTTGCCGAGTGTTTTTAGCTGAGCACTCGACAAAGAGCTTGTTTGCCGAGTGTCCGAGGAAATACACTCGGCAAACATAAAAACACTCGGCAAATTTGAGGATTCCGGTAGTGTGGTAGAATTAAGCATGTCCAATTGGTACAAGTTATGCATGTCGAAGTCCAATTAGTCTGAATTGGTCGAAGCTAAGCATCATTGACAACGGTCGGCATTGAGGCAAGTGTGCAGGTTTGGAGGTGTAGTTAATGTATATTTCCCTCTATTATTCAGCCTAACAAAATACTTTTCCATAATATTGTTTATATAGTTGCTTCTCGAGTTGTATGACAATGCAGTAACATGCATAAACCATTGTCAGATAGTGAACAACTCCTGATCAGAGCACATGATGCATCTCATAATTGTTTGAATCCTTTTCCATTCGGTAATCTCTGCATGCGAGTTATAATCCTATCTATTACCAGTTTGTCTCTACTTCCGGTAGGTAAATACAAGATTAGGGGGGAAATAGAAAATCAATTCTATGTGAGACCTGATGGTGCAAGGAATTGTCAACCCAAGGTGATGAGGATCTCTCCTCCCTCCCTCTTCCTCACTCTCACTCTTGTTCAGAGGCTGCCTCTTACTCACTCCCTCTTGCTAACAGGCTGCCCTCTTGCTCATGGGCCAGAGTGTAGGGAGGAGACCTAATGATACGTAGTTGTGGGTTTGTTGCATATGCATCGTGGAGGCAAGGCGTTGATATCCTCGAGGCGGATGTTGGGTCTGAAGTAGCCTTTGGAGTAGGTGTGTGTCAGCGCCATTCGTGCTAGGCTTTGGTGGAATTCTTGATTATTTTAATCTAAAATTTATTTTTAATCTATTCTAAACACGCCCTATGGGTGCAGTGGGCTCCAACAGCCTTAGGTGGACTCCCACGGCCAGCTATGAGCAGCTTGGGAGACGGTATTTGATGGGCTCCAGCCTAGCAGGTATTACCAATTACGTAAGTCGCTTGCTTATGCTTTTATTACTTGTTTCCTATATACTATTCTAATCGCTACCATGTTTGTAGTTTCTTTTGTCATGGCTCTCTTCTCAAAAATATATGCTTTAAGTTTTAGATCAGCGGGAGAAGATGCTTCTCATGATTAACTCTAGTCCTGTTGAAGAGTGGTGTAAAGATACACCAGCGCTGATGTATACCAGTCAAACTCTTGTTTTTTTGGATTAAATGTCACTTTAACTTTGATATTTAATTTTTACAGTATTACTATCTTATCGTGCGATCCGTGTGTTTTTAGTATAAATTATTAGCTATTCCATAGCAACACAGGACACACTACTTGGTATAAATATAAATAATAAAACCTTCACTCTCCCTCCCTCTCCTCGCTGTGTGCTGCTGTTGTCCTCTTGCGTCCATTATTAGGAAGAAGGCGGCCTCCTGGTCCCTGGCGCTGCTGGGCTTCCTCGTTCGCTTCGCTCGCTGCCTGCCTGCCTGCCTGTGTGCCTCCCCTCCTCTCCCCTCTCCGCTCATGTGCTGGTCCATCGCCTGCCTCCTCTGTTTGTCCTGAATCCTTGGACCGACCACGCATACACAACCTCAGCTCAGGTAAGGTACCGCCGCCGCGCGCTGCCTTTCCCCGTTGCAAAATCTTTTCGCCCTCTGCACCATCTGGGCTCACCGTCACTACGACGACCGATCTCGCTCGCCACTCGCCAGCGACAGCGAGCGACCCCTCCCTCCCTCTCTTCTTTCCATGCTGATCTTGGCGTGCTTCTCCTTCTCTTCCTCCTCCTCCCCCAGAGCCGGGCCTCGTTGGAAACCGAACTGATTTCCCTTGGTATTTGCTGTTCCTATCCCAATCATTCGATTTCCCGTTTCTCTCTTCCTTCCTTCCTTCCTTGGTTTTGTTTTCTCGATCGACTCTATATTTTCTTGCCTCGCCACTCTCCCCTCTTTGGTTGGTTTGATTGATGGTGCATGTTTCTGTAGCGAGCTTACCCGGCGCCTGACTGATTCTCAGCTCTCCTTTTTGTTTATTTTATTTTATTTTTCATCCGATTCATGTTCTTCAGTTCTTGTTTCCTTGTGCGCTGTGAGATTCCGCTCTTGCGGATTCTCCAACTTGTGTTTTATGTCCCCGCCTACATTTTCTTGTCTGTTGCCGCCACCTCACCTAGCAAAGTAGCAATCATTTTAATAATAGCATTTCCACATCAAGCTCTCTAATTAATCTGCTGTTTAATTAACTATTCGCCCACTGCCCACAGGCTGTGGCTGGATTCTTTGGTGTTCCATCCGGCCAAGAATCCTGCGAGAGCTTTGGAGCCAGTCAAGCCTGCTGCCGTCGTCGTCGTCGTCTCGGGTGAGGCAGCCTTCAGCGTCGACGAGGCAAGCAGAAGCAGGCCGCCACCGCCGCCGTCGCCGCCATGATGAGCTTCAAGGGCCACGAGGGGTTTGGTCAGGTGGCCGCCGCCGCCACCACCGGTGCCGGGAGCCAGGCGGTCTCCCATGGCGCTGCGCCTGCCGGAGCAGCCCCACTTCTGTTCGGTCTCCCATGGTGGGCGGGGCCCCAGCTGCTGTTCGGCGAGCCGGCGCCCCTGTCGCCGGAGGAGACGCGCCGGGACGCCCAGTTCCAGGTCGTGCCGGGGGCTCAGGGCACGCCGGATCCAGCTCCAGCGCCGCCAAAGAGAGGGACACCTGAGGTCCTCAAATTCTCTGTCTTCCAAGGTGACTTCTTGTTTATTTATTTCTTTATCTGCTGCTGTTGTTGGTCAAGTTTATGGATTACTCCACTTAACTAAAGAGAATTTCTTTCCCTTTTTCTGAACACAAAAAAATGATTGAATGCGAGAATTTGGCACGTTAATGTTGGATCTGTGCATGCTAGTACTATATATGCCAACGAACATATATAAGCGAATGTCAAAAGGTTTAGTAATCATCAAATATCGCCTAATTACAAGACGATGTGGTGGTCTGGAGAATAAGCTACAGGAATTAATCTGTGTTGGTAGCCCTGCTGCTGTAGAACACTAGAACTTGATGGGTATTTTTCTTTCTATATATTTTTTTTCCTCCAAGAACTGCAGGCACCACTTTTTTTAGGCAAGGACGGCAGAATAGCATGTTACCTTTCCTGTGTTGCTACCTGTATACACTACATAAGATATGTAGGTGAATTTTAATCTAAGATTTTTTTTATAACTATTTAAGCTTGTATCGATGCAAGAAGCTGGCACGAAGTAGATGTACCTATTTGCATAAACAAAGACAATGCTATATGGGGATGTCACCTGTCATGCCAGAGGGTGCAATTAGTTGGATAGTACCAATTCTCCCCAGTGCTGCCTCCTCTACTTTTGATGCCGCTGCTGCCGACTGTTCTATTATTGGCGCCTCCATTATGATAGCTGCCGCTGTCACTCTCACTACTGCAGCACTTTTCTTCTGATGAACAAGAAGAAACCCCACTCTATTTAGATGCAACGAAACTACACAGAAATATGAAGACTGCTGATGGCTGCAGGCTTAACTTAACTGTGGGCATTCTTTGAGATGGTTATCTCTTATATATATGCCCCAGATAAATAACTTAAGAGTGAATAAACTAATTCCATGAATATGTTGAGGAACAGACAAAATTGGGTAAGCTGTGCTATGAATTTGCATTGGAATAGTTAGCGGTTGGATCTCTCATACTTTGCATCGGCGATAAGTTTTTCTTTGATGCACATCATCACATTGGATCAAGTCCATCTGTGGGTAGATACTAGAATATGCTGCATAGTGCCTCTTGTGTTTGTGGGCTATGCTGCATGACACAATCATTAGGATGGTCTATTTTCATGAAACATAAAAGCATGCTCTACAGGTCTAGCAAAACATATGCATAAACTGCAAGAGATAATATGGGGCATAGCACATACTTTATGGTTACTAGAGTCAACAACTATCCACCATGGAATGGCTATTTGCGTGTGTATTACTTAGTATCATACAGTAGACTAGCGGGGTAGCTTGTGATGGAACTCAATAGTCCCCTCAGATTCCATAAGTAAAATACATGTCGTTCCAACCATTGGAGTTCATTCTATAATTTCTAGCTTGCCATCTACTAGCTCTTTTAAACTAAAACTAGAGACTAGGATGTGTTAGTATTTTATTAAGGCATAATATTTTTGTCTTTTTTGTCGAATACTCTATCACAGAGCCTAGTTCTAATAAATCAGCTGTGATTTCTTGATCTACGTCATTTGGGATATATGTCATCTTTTAGTTATTGTGAAAAGTACACTGCATGAATGCCAAACTTTTAAGGTTGGGTGACTCGCCACCGGACTTAAAAAGTAGGAGTCAAAAGAAAATGGTACTTCTTCAGCTTTTCAGAACTCGGAGATACTCTTTGAAGTCTTCAAAATGCAACTCATGTTATCTATGATGGGAGTTGATAATATTTCAACTTTGTTGTGGGTGGATTTCCAAGCACACTCATGAAGAATTTCTACTGTCTAGTACTAGTATTTTGAAAATGGAAGACTTCTAATGGTTTCTGATCCTGTGGTATCCAGGGAATTTGGAGTCGGGTGGTAAAGGAGAGAAAAACCCAAAGAATTCTACCACGATTGCTCTGCAGTCACCATTCCCAGAATACAATGGCCGTTTCGAGATCGGTCTTGGTCAATCTATGGTAATATACGTTTATCCTTTTATATTTTCTAAGTTTCTGTTTGGAAATTGTTACAGTTCAAATCATTTCTTGGAATTTCTTCAATGTTGATTTGTCAACTGATTTCTTTGCAAAAGGAAAAAAAACTGACCTCATTTCTTTCCAGCTGGCCCCTTCCAATTATTCTTGTGCTGACCAGTGCTATGGCATGCTTATGACTTATGGAATGAGATCGATGGTATGGTTTATTTGTTTTGAGAAAACAGTGTTCTATTTTGTTGCATTATAAGTATTTGCATGAACTTCGTAGTTCCTAGCAAGCTTTTGCACCAAAATTTTCTCGCATCAAATTGCTTAGATCACATGTATTCTTGCTAGAATCACTACTGAATTTGTAATAACATGATGTGTTCTGCTGACCAAACATGTAAAGACAAAGTTCACCTACTTAATATGCTCTAACTCTTTTGTTCAGTGCTCTCAGCCTTGAGCATTAACCTGAATTGGCGAAAACATTTGACTAATTCAAGGAATTCAGAAATACTATATATTGTACTTTACCTTATATTCTTATAGCTTCATTGAGTAAAAGAGCAAGTACAGATTATGAAGCATGATACTGACAGCATCTCTGAAATTTCTAATGATAATGTCAGATCTCTAATGGCCTTGTTTTTCCCCCCCGTGTAACATAGTCTGGTGGGAGAATGCTGTTGCCACTAAATGCGCCAGCTGATGCACCCATCTACGTGAACCCGAAGCAGTACGAAGGCATCCTCCGTCGTCGCCATGCTCGTGCTAAGGCAGAGAGCGAGAACAGGCTCGCCAAAGGCAGAAAAGTGAGGACACTCTTCTTGTAGCTGGGCGACCCCTTAACTTTCCCTACGTCCATGGCAGTTGGCAGCTGCCATCTCAAGCAGCATTTGCGATGCTCACATACTTTACTCTCACCATTTTGACCGGTGATCAGTGATCGCTGTGCTGTTCATGCTGCAGCCCTATCTCCATGAGTCGCGCCACCTCCATGCGATGCGTCGGGTAAGAGGCTCCGGCGGGCGTTTCCTCAACACGAAGAAAGAAGGAGGGCATGGCACGGCCGTTGCTGCGAACGGGGGCAGCAAGATGGCAGCAGCGGCACCATCACGCCTCGCCATGCCCCCTAGCTCCGAGCCTCCACGGCCACCAGGGCTCAGCAACATTAGCAACCCGCGCTGCCACTCCCAGAGTAGCGTCTCCAGTTTGTCTGGCTCCGATGTGTCAAACATCTACGGCGGCTTGGAGCAGCCCCCTCGGGCGCCGCCCTTCTTCACCGCCCTGCCACCCATCATGGACGGCGACCACGGCAGCGCCACCCACATCTCTTCCTTCAAGTGGGCAGCCAGCGACTGCTGCTGCGAGCTCCTCAAGGCGTGAACCGAGGAGGAGGGGATGGCTACTCAGACGAACGGCCTTCTCCCCGATGGCTGGTTGTCTGTAGGCAAATCATTCTTGGCTGTTCTGCATTGGGGTGCAACCTCCACATCATCTACCTACCTACCCACTCCCTGTCCCTGAAATTCCACAGTGCTTGGGTTACAGGGGTCTTGTGTGATGATGTGGCTCCCCCATATGCCTTTGCTGTAACATAGTGTACCCAAACCACTGCTGCTTGGTACTTCTCGCTATCATTGTCTCAGTATGGACTCTCCGTTGTCATAGTGTCTGAATAATCGAGGTGTCAGACTTCACGGTCTCTCCAGTTCTTGGAGATGTGTCTGGGTCTGGGTCTATTTGAAGCTTGCTTGGAGGTCTCAAACTTTGTGATGGTGAAGGTGCTGTGTTATTGTAGTCTGAATATTAAGTTTGGGACCAACATTCAGTTCTTGCAGTTGACGCATGGCTTGTATTTTAGGTATCTGTGCTCTGGCCTCTGGTGACAAGGTGTTCGTTCTGAATATTTGGGTCAATTAAAAATCTTCGGCTAAGTTACTACTGGGACACAGAAAGTTTAGTTTTTTTTTCTTTCGCAATATTTTCAATACACAGAAAGTTTAGTTTTTTCCTTTTGCAATATTTTCAATTGTTTTGGAGCTGGAGCAGTACTAAGTTGTGCTGCTTTGGATACTGTGACATTTGAAAATAGGGATAATTGTTTGTCGGACATCCAAAGTGATGGTCCTTTGCTGGCGGACACCCACTTTGGAGCATTTTGTTAGAAGATACTCTGGTTCGGTAAAATTAGGCCACAGGACACCGCGGACCGGTTGTAGCCGATTGAGGAGAGAGAAATTTTCGTTTTGGACATCCGGTGCCCCTGAGCCACAGTTGGGTCTGCCCCTCTCCCTCTCACTGACGTGTGCGGGCCCCACCAGTCATCTACTTTTTCTTCTCTTTCTCACCGCGACCATGTGCCTCCTCTACTCGTGCTCTGTGCTTCCTCGCCGGTGGAGGTCGTGCATCCCCGGCCACAGATGAGCTGCGCCGCATCTCTTCGTGCGCGGTCACCGGCGAGGCAGCTTCCCCGCCGCCAGCTTCCTCTGCCTGGAGCAGCAGATGAGCGCCCTTTCTCCAGGTCGGCGCGGGCGCAGGTGGGCGGCGGCGCCTCGAAGACAAGCGCAGAGCAGGACGGCTCAACAGCTTGGTGTGGTGGAGGAGGCTGCTTCGGAGCTTGTGCGCCGCTGTAGCCCGCTGACCTGCTGCCACCACGAGCCGAGCTCCCGTGGCCTCGCCCGCTCCTCCGCCCCGCCCTTGCCGGCGGCCTCGTCAGCACGCCGCCCCTCCCTGCACCAAGTCGAGCCAAGCCTTGGCCCCGTCCCCGTCCCGCCCCGCCCGGAGCCACGGTGGCCGCGGCTGCCCGCGCCCCGGCGCCCGTGCTCGTGCGCATCATGGCAGCCGCGGTGGCCCGCACCATGGTGGCCACGCTCGTCCTCACCCCGGCGGCCGCAGCGGCCCGTGCCCTGGCTGCCTCGTTCACCCGTGCCCCGGCGGCCCCGCCTGCTCGAGTGCGCCCCCATGGCCCCACCATGGACAGGAAACAAAAAAAAAAGAGAAAGGGAGAGAGGAAGGAGAAAGCGACAGGGGCAAGAATATCATTTCATCGCTGTTCTCTCTCCTCAACCGGCTGCAACCGGTCCGCGGTGTCCTGTGACCTAACTTCACCGAACCAGAGTGTCTTCTGGCAAAATGCTCCAAAGTAGGTGTCCACTAGCTAAGGGCCATCACTTTGGATGTCCAACGGATAATTATCCCTTGTGGCAATATGAATCCTGTGCTGTCTTGGTCGGTGCATGTCTGAATCAGCAAATCATTTTGGTCAATCTGTATAGCTAGCATTGATTTGAAGTAATACCAATATACCATGTAGCTATTGCAGTTGCAATGCTAGATATTCAAAAAAAAATCGTACATAAAGTTCCGCCAGATGAATAGATGCTCTTTTTTGGGTACCAATTTTCTAACTGTTTTTGCATTGACTTGCTAGAACCACCAATGCCTTCTCTGCTAGGCAGTTGGCATCCCTGTTTCAAAGGGGTGTCGCCTAGACGTCCAGACGTACCCAGCTCGCCTTGGGAAAGTGGCACCAGTTGAAACCATGGTTTGGCATCCCCTTCTCTGCTAAGCAGTTGGCCTCACAAAGGAGGTTAACACAGGGTTTAACTAATGCAATACGAGTACATGAATGTGGCATTCCAAAGCCAAGAAAATATAAAACATAGAATGCAAAGCATTCGATTAAAACATGGCTACAACCTGATCGTTGTAGACAGTTGCAATTGAAAGTTTCAACAACACAGCTAATCCAAACAAGCTTTGCCCTCGTGCTCAAATCTGATCATAGAACAGGTGAAGTTGCCAAAGGAAAACAGCTGAAATAAAAAAAATGCCAGAACAACACCAAGAACGTTAGATAATTACAATTGAAAGTTTCAGAAACACAGCTAATCCAAACAGTATTTGCCCTCATGCTCACAAAACAGGCGAAGTTTTGCCATCACGATGACAGACAAGATGAAAGGAATGTGCAGAAACACAGCTAATTCAAACAGTATTTGCCCTCATGCTCACAAAACAGGTGAAGTTTTGCCATCACGATGAACAGACAAGATGAAAGGAATGTATAACAATTAGATGTAGTGAGCTAGCGATTGGCAATTATCACTCATCGCTGGACTCAGCCACTGGCCATCATTGTCTATGCAGAAGCTTTCAGAGCTGTTCGACTGATGGTTTCTGCGGTTGATAAGCCGGCTAAAACTGATTTGTTGTGAAAGAAAAACACTGTACTATGACTGATAAGTTCAAGCGAATAGTTAGTCTGTATAATTTCAGCATCGATGCACGGTGAGCAGTTAGTAATTTAGGGTCATCAATTCATCAGATTATTGAAGAATGAGATGTCTGTATGATTAGCCAGAGTTCAAAGTCATCTGGCAACATTCGTATAATTTGATTTCAATCAAAAGAATCGCATGTTCATGTAGACAGAAGAGGGCTAGCATTGATTTGAAGTAATACCAATATACCATGTAGCTATTGCAGTTGCAATGCTAGATATTAAAAAAAAATCGTACATAAAGTTCCATCAGATGAATAGATGCTCTTTTTTGGGTACCAATTTTCTAACTGTTTTTGCATTGACTTGCTAGAACCACCAATGCCTTCTCTGCTAGGTAGTTGGCATCCCTGTTTCACAGGGGGTGTCGCCTAGACTTCCAGGCGTACCCAGCTCGCCTTGAGAAAGTGGCACCAGTTGAAACCATGGTTTGGCATCCCCTTCTCTGCTAAGCAGTTGGCCTCACAAAGGAGGCCAACACAGGGTTTAACCAATGCAATACGAGTACATGAATGTCGCATTCCAAAGCCAAGAAAATATAAAACATAGAATGCAAAGCATTCGATTAAAACATGGCTACAACCTGATCGTTGTAGACAGTTGCAATTGAAAGTTTCAACAACACAGCTAATCCAAACAAGCTTTGCCCTCGTGCTCAAATCTGATCATAGAACAGGTGAAGTTGCCAAAGGAAAACAGCTGAAATAAAAAAAATGCCTGAACAACACCAAGAACGTTAGACAATTACAATTGAAAGTTTCAGAAACACAGCTAATCCAAACAGTATTTGCCCTCATGCTCACAAAACAGGCGAAGTTTTGCCATCACGATGACAGACAAGATGAAAGGAATGTACAGAAACACAGCTAATTCAAACAGTATTTGCCCTCATGCTCACAAAACAGGTGAAGTTTTGCCATCACGATGAACAGACAAGATGAAAGGAATGTATAACAATTAGATGTAGCGAACAGACAAGATGAAAGGAATGTATAACAATTAGATGTAGCGAGCTAGCGATTGGCAATTATCACTCATCGCTGGACTCAGCCACTGGCCATCATTGTCTATGCAGAAGCTTTCAGAGCTGTTCGGCTGATGGTTTCTGCGGTTGATAAGCCGGCTAAAGCTGATTTGTTGTGAAAGAAAAACACCGTACCATGACTGATAAGTTCAAGCGAATAGTTAGTCTGTATAATTTCAGCGTCGATGCATGGCGAGCAGTTAGTAATTTAGGGTCATCAATTCATCAGATTATTGAAGAATGAGATGTCTGTATGATTAGCCAGAGTTCAAAGTCATCTGGCAACATTCGTATAATTTGATTTCAATCAAAAGAATCGCATGTTCATGTAGACAGAAGAGGGACAGAAATCTATCTCCCTCACTAGTCATCAATCTCTCCTGTCACAACATGTTAATCGATGCTCGAAAGAAGAAAGGGAATTCATATCCTCAAATCCCTCACAAAAAATGAAGATGCCGCTGCCTCTTCGTCTTTGCCCAATCAGGCTGCAGGATCTCTGCTCTCCCCCGAAACTGCCGCCTCAGCCACCTGCTTATTCTGGCCTTCGTCTGGCGGCGGCGCCGCTGCCTCCTTCTGGCCTTCCTCGGACGCCGACGCCGCAGAGGTGGAGGCGGAGGCGGCTTCTTCGGCCTGAAAGGCCTCCAGGTCCGCAGCCATGGCGCGCTCGGCCCGGAGGATAGGCTCGTAGTAGCTGGCGTGCGCGTCCATGCACTTCCGCAGCGCGGCCGTGACGTCTTGGCACCGCTCCACGACATCGACGCTGGCACCCGCGGCCTCCGCCTCCTCCACGCACTTCTCCCACGCGACGAACTCGTCCTTGCAGCCACCGCCCTTCATGAAGAGGCAGAACCCGCACTCCCCTTGCTCCTCCCCCTCCCCCTCCCGTGCTCCGCCGGCCACCGCGGAGGCATCGATGACCACCGTCTCCGCGGCATCTTCCTCGCCGCCTCGACGAGCATGAGCCGCCGCCGCATCGTCGGCGACGACGCCGGCAGTGGCGGCGGCGGCGGCGGAGTGCTGGTGAGCTTCTTTGGCTGGTGTAGCGGCGGCCTCCGGGGGAGGAGGATCAGGACC